TCGCCATTCGAAGCCACTCCCAAAGGATGCTGCAGCTTGACATCAACACCTTTACCATCATGATCACCAAATGCAAAAAGATTCTGGACACGAAAAACGCAACATGTTAATGTATAGGTACTATACAGAAAACCATTCTTAATGTAACCAAATCACCACAAACTAAATTTTTCCTAAAAGGCGCAAGTGTAAGCGGCCAGAAAGTCAGTCACATACTGGCTTCTAAAATAATTTAGGATTGCAGATAGTGCTTTGGTTTTATTTCAGTACATAAACACTCTGTAACTGGCATCTGTCGACCTTCAGCTGCCACACTGGTGTGATCAATCTCGAAGCAAACTAAAACCATTTGCACTAGAGCAATAATTTTCAACTGATTGTCGAAAGTACATTGTACTCTGAGATTGCTTTGTTTTTGGTGTGGTTCCCTCTGTGATTGGTCCAGAAAACTCGCACCAGTAATCGCCACCTGGTCGGCCGCGTTTTTCCCGCGCTTCAGTTTTACTTTGAGTTCTCATTGGCTGTTAAAAGTATTTCCCTCTCTTCTGATTGGCTGTTATGATTACTTTGGTTTTGGTTTTATGACACTCAATCAAAAAACGTTCTAAACTACTAAGTCAGTTGCGTTTTCCTAAGGCTCATTGTTAGAACACATGTATGATTGGTAACTATGTCACTAAGTGCCTTTCACTTACTGTTGGATCCCTGTCAGCTCCCACAAGAGCCTTTGTGGCACCACTAGCCACATCAACTGTCCTCACACTGCTGCTTTCACTATCTGCCACAAACAAGCATCTGAAGGGTTTTTCCTTTGCAAGACTGATGCCTGAAGGCTGTGCAAAAGCTGCTTTGTGGGGATAACTGTTATTGCGATTTTCTTCTGCACCACTTCCAGCGAATCGAAGGCAAGTTCCTTTTACTTGAGAACTAACAAAATTACGTTTACTGTGGCAACACAAACATGTACATGTAATAAAAGAACAAACAACAAAAGAATGAATGAAAGTACAAGTGATTTCACCAATGTAACAATTAATCACATTCAATGGAGGAACAAACAATTGTCAATTGACTGACATGTTAACTAACCTCCCTTTTAACCACGTGCTGTCCTGAAGGTACACTGCCCATATTTGGTGCGTGCCTGCCATAGCAATGTACAAAACATCTCTAACATCTCCATCCTCTGCATTGTCGGGTCCTGCAAAAAAAAAAAATAATGGAAAGTACAAAGGGTCAAAACAGGAAACACTGACCATACATATTGAAGAAGGGGAAGCCAGCATGAGAAGGGAATTAAAGATGTAGATAAAAAGGATGGGTACAGAAAATGGGGAAAAAAGCACACCTTTTTTTTATCTAGCAATGAAATGTTAGTATGATGAAAACTTAGGAATATGTCTTTAAAATGATGAACAAAAGAATCTTTTTAAGACTGTCAGAGCAACAGTCTTATAAAGATTCACTGCAACAAGGCAAGAAGAATAGCCCCAATCATTTCTAAAATAACATTGTTGTAAAATTAGTAAAGGTAAGTGTAAAGAGCTCATAAGTAAGACGTGATAAATGACAGAAAGGTGTGATTCAGACGTCAAACAAACTGTAATGTTTCTAAAAGCTTTTTTGCCTTAATGCTTCAGGCAAAAATATTTAACAAGCACACAAGACACTAAACTTCTTGATGCTATCCTCATATCAAAAATATGTTAAGCTCTCTATTAACATCAGTCAAAAATGGCCAGTGTACAAGTGGCACTTCAATACACCAATTTTTATTTTCCAATAAGACTGTCAATAATTCAGTTGCATTACTCTGTCAAAATCATTACCAAAACAAACAAACAAGCAAACAAACAAACAAACAAAAAAAAAACAGAACAGAAAGGAGTCCTATGATTCAAGGTCTACAATTCAAAGCTTGTAAACAAACCAGGTGGTGGGCCAATAACAACATCCCATGGTGAACTGATGCTTTGCGATATTCCTGATTTTCCACCTTCCTTGTCACTTCCTTGCTTTCCATTGCCAGTAATAGTGGTGACTGTTCCTTTCTCAAGATCAATCTGAGAAAAAAAATATTGAGCAATAATTTGTTACTAGACAGTTTATCTCCAGGTAATTTTATAATAATCACACTGTTTCTACTGTTATATTTATTGTTCAGAATGTTTAGAACAAACATTGTCACATTCATCATATTTTCAATTGTTGATTTTCATCTGGGAAATATCTTGGACACAACTGAAAGTTGTAGTAACAACTAAAGAGTTGTAAACTTTGTATTCCTATATCACTATATTGCTGACAGCAACCATGGGTAATATGTCACCATTACTGTGTTTTGATTGGCTTTAAGATGGGCCCACCCTGCCAGTATGGGATTGCCTGGAGTGGACTTACAAGGTTCATAGTTCTTGGACAATGCTAGGGATGAAGAAGCAAAAAGCCGTATGAGACAGTTAAAACAAAGAAAACATAAACCACTCATGTGGTTTTATTGCCCTACAATCACAGTTGGCTTCCTCTCCTAGCTCTCAAAATAAACAAGCCATTCTTGATTCTTAATAAAGTGAGGTCTTCCCGTTATATAAGAAATCCTTCATTGACCAAGCTTGTTCAGTCAAGAGAGCTGGATATCAGCCTTGTTATTTTCTTCCATTTTTATGGACCTTGACTTCATCTTGGACCATAAAAATGTAAAAAAAAGAAAAAAACTTGTATGTTTATGCTTGATCAATAATGCATATATGAAAAACTATACTTCCTTAACAAAAATCACCTAGAAAATGATCTAATTTGAACTACACTGGCAACTTTAAATTAACAATTGCATTCCAGAATGATATGAATCAAAGATCAGTTCTGCAGCATTATACCTGAGGAAAATCTTTAAATAAAACCGAAGAAGTAGTACTCTAAAAATCATCCCTTACCTGTCGTATGGCATGATTCTCTGTATCAGCAATATAAATTTTTTCCTTATCAATGGCTATTCCCTGCGGTGAATGAAATCTTGCTTCTTGAAATGATCCATCAACAAAGCCAGCTTCATATTTTTCTCCTCCTCCAATTGCATTTAAAATAATACCTTCTTTGTTTATTACAAGGAGCCTATGGTGTCCTGTGTCAGCAACCACCAATCTCTCTCCTCTTTTGTCCATAGATACCTTTCCAGGAAATGAGAGACTTGTCTGCGGAAGAGTGTCTTTGACCAGAGAAATACCAATGGAATGGTCTTTTACTTTATCTGCAAGAATTTAACATGTAGTTCTGGAGAATAAACAATTACTACCATTTTGAAGAGATAATTAATATGTGCATTAATTGTTTATTTTCCCCTCTTGCTGCTACACATTTTCTTGTAAATTTGTTCTGAGAGTTTGGTGTTAGATCAAGATCACCACTTATACCTGATGAGTTTGAGTATTCTAATTACCTGTTTGCTGGATAAAGTATGGAATAGGAGAACTTAAATGTTGATCACTTCAGGGAGTTAAATAAAAATAATATTATAAGCATGAAAACTCACTTGGTTTTCTTCATATTTGGATTGATTGGTAAAACCTATTTAGCAGAGCTAGTTCCACCAAACAATCATGTTATATATTATGAGAAATGGACACCCAAGAGGGAATGTGAATTTTAAGGTTATAAATAGTAACTAAATTAGGAAATGCATTGACATGTTTTATCACTGAAAGTTGTATTTCACCCACAGACACAATCAGTACAAAGCGTAACAAGTGCAATATGGAAAATGATGACCTTCAGGGGTAAAGAGTTCAAACTTTGGCTTTTTTTCTAAGTTATTCTATGATTGTTTGTTCTTCGTTTGCCTCATTTGCTGGTGTGTGACTTGGGTGAAATAACAATGGCCACAAGAATCCTCAATTCAACGTGGTCCATTTTCCAATTCACTGGGTTCTTTCGAATCTACATGATGTACCCTTTCACTGGTGGATAAAACGCTTTGAAAAATAAAAGAATTATGTCAAAAGTGTTACCATACCTTTCTGTTTGTAGTATTTCAGGGCTGTTCCCACAAAATGTAAGAGCGTATCTCTGTGACCCTCCCCCACCAAACTAAGAAGAATTTTTCCTTCTGGACTAACAACGACTAAAGTTGGCCAACAGTGCACAGACAAAGAATGCCACAGCTTTGCCTCGGAATCATTCACCACGGGATGTCTGATATCGTACCGTAACACTCCACTTAAAATATTTGTAGAAGATTTTTCGTTCTCGAATTTCGCCGAATGTATACCAAGTATGACAAGCCCATCTTTCTCGGAATGAAGGTGTTCCAATGCCTCCAAATCGGGTAGGATGTGCATACAGTTTATGCAGCAATAGGTGAAGAAATCCAAGATACACAACTTTCCGAGAAGCTGATCTCTGAAGAACAAAGGATTTTTGCAGTTCAGCCACTCCAGATTCGAATCAAGTTCTGGAATATCTGTGGAATCTCTTGTTTCCATCCATTCGATAAATGTAAAAATAGCTTGGTCTCTCTCTTCATCTGAACCCGCAGATTTTAAAGAACATATTAGATCGTCTCCTTTTTTAATAAACCAACCCTCCGACAGCACCATGATATCCAGGGGAAGAAAACGATTGGTAAGGAATGAAAATTATTACTTTGAGGAGAGGATTAAAGAATTGCTATCTCATCGTGATTTTCCCCCAGGCGTGCCAAATATGTGGTCAGCGGAGATTCCCACGAAATATTCGCGTTGTGTAATTTCATCAAAGAGTTGTACGTATATCACACAATATTTTTTTAAACGTGAAGTCTTAGTTCGCATATATAGGAAATCAAAGTGAGAGGAAACCACCTCTTGCAATTCATAGTAGCTGTATGTAAGCTCTATTATCCTGAGGTTTTAAAGGTGGATGGTTAAAGCATTAACTTTCCGATGGCAATATCATATAGAC